TTCTATATATCTCATAAAAATGTATTAAATGTATATTTAATTTTAACAGCTATGTGTGGGGCATCCATTAAAATTAAAGAGATTTATAAATAAATATGATTTTAAATAAAATATCACATTTCATAAATACCTATATTATCTAAATTTCTAAAATAGTTACCATCAGAAAGTTTATAGGAGTTTTTCTACTCACAGTAGGTAATTTTCTTCCACACTTAAAGTTCATTAACATTTTTTTGTCACTTTTAATAATCTCTTCAAGGAAACATCCATAGTGTTAAGACTAGATTAATTCTAATTTTTGTTTCATACAAAGTTTACACCAAGGATAAAACAATTTGAACCCTCACCAACTTTAGATGAAATAATCTTTGCTCGATCTGTATCTAGAACATGTGTGACTATTTATTTGGTTTTGGAAAAAGGGATATATTTATTCAGAAAATCGAATCTTTCAAACTAAACATCTTAGAAATTATGCATATTTGAAAGACAAATTAAATAGGGCAAATAGAGAGCTCCATTAGCTCTATCCCGCTACTTACCGTTTTCGAGAGGAAACATATTATTTTTATTTACCCATTATTTGTTTTCTGCTGGTATAGTTTAATGTAGCGACCAAATGCCAAAATTTTCGAAGTGACTTCCACGCTTAATTTCAACGTTAACACCTTAAAAATAATTTAGAATCATAAAAAATGTCACCTAAAAACGGGATTTAATATCTCGACCGGACTATTAAAATTTTGTTAACTTTTTCTACTAATTGAGAATTATTATCACTAATTTTGACATTTGAAATGCTTCCATTAAATTTAGAGAAACAAACTTCTACGCTAACTGAAATCGCTAATTTATTGCATTTCTATTGAAGTTCTGAATGTAGCTTTGCTAATAAGGTAGAATTTCCTCAACTGCGAACAAAATGGTACCCTGTACAGTATTTTTTTGGTACTATATCTCGTTATCTCGTCATAGCTCGTTATCTCTTCTACCGTATATAATGAGAATTGCTTCCCCGCATGGCGTCGACGCCTAAGATTCGATTCTTCGACTTATACACGATCGATCCGTCTCGTCGTCCGTTTGCCGTGATCACCCGAAATCAAGATGTCCTTGGTTGTGACAGACAAGACAAAAGAAACCGGAATAACGAGCGGCCGATAAGGCCGGTCGCTGTAATGGGCGCGCGGATTATCTTATCGATGGATCGGGCGTGACTCAGACAGGTAAGTGTCGTTCTGTCGTTTATTTTTTTCTTCTGGTACGAATTAAAAAGTAATAGGAACAGGAAGAATGGCTGGTGATCTTATCTTAATAGAAAAATTAAAATCGTATATGGCCCTGCTGCAGTGTGCCATCTATAGGTCCTAAAATAAAGAACTTTCAAAAGCGATTTCATTTCAGTACAAGTAAACTGTGTACTAGGACCCTATGTAGAATATAGAATATTTTGGAGGGGGGCTAATCACCGCTATCTTACTTCGCTATTGTGTCCCCTGCTCTTGAGTTATAACGAGCTATAACTCATCATACAGTCTCAGGATTTTGAAAAAAAAACAGTATCTGTTAAAAGAGGCTAGTTATCCATCTCCGATATCAGCCATACTAAAGTTTATGGCACGAACGGTTGTATTCTCGGCTCGCTTGGTGATGAGGTGTTCTGGTGGTACATTTTCGTCACACAATCTGCATTCGCCGTTTTTCATTATCTTTAGTCTGCTGAGATGTTCGTTGAGGAGACAGTGTCCTATTAAAACCCCATGACAATCCGAAGCTTGTTCCTACTTAAATCAAAAAGGAATATCAACATTTTTTGTTGGTCGTAAGTTCTGAGAAATTCCTTCGAGTGTCTTAGATCGTTTGAGGACTACCATTCTAGGTTACGGATGGAGTTTTCCATGTTCTTCAGTTCCGCTTTTGGTTGGTTTCCGGTTGGTTCTGGTTCAATTAATAGAGTGTTTGCTCCTTTTTTAGTTAGATCATTTGCTTTTTCATTGCCTTCTATTTTTTGGACTTTATATTATTTGCCTAATTTATTCAGCTTCTCTAGGCAATCTTTGACCAACTTCGAATTGATGGTTACTGAGTTATCGCGTTTAGTGCTTTCGGATTAGATGGCAATTTCCCGTTTTCAATAGTGGGAATTGTACGCTCGATCGATAGTAGGAATTGTACGCATTTTTCAATAGCGTAGATTTATGCCTGAATGATGCTGGAGTAGATGCCATATACATATATGTATAAATATCTCTATAGTTTATTCTCTATTCTTGTAATGTGTGGGGATTGAAGCTGAAGTGGAAATAGCTAGATTTCGTTTTATGTATATTTCACAAGTTTATCTGTTAGGGAATTACTAGTATTATGGACAAGTTCAATATTCGGATGTTTCATTAACCAGTATCGCTCTTACCCCAAAAGAAATTTGATGCTAGCGACTAGTCACACAATCGATGAATCAGAATCCACTCTTTCGCATAGTTATTCTACTTACTGAAGAGTTATACAAATTCCTTAAGAAGATTTATGCGATTTTTCAGAAGCTCGGCTTCAGAGTGCAAAATGAACTTGTGCTGAGTGCAAAATGAACACACTGTCAGTGAGTTATTGATATTTTTTATGCACTTGAGCAATGATTTCATCCAATAGCCAATAATCAAAATTTGGTGTCCAATAAATTATTCGGTTGTTTTGATTGCCTAATTTAAACCAGCCGCCTATGTTATAAAGTTAATGCATTTTTGCCTTGTTTATAGAAATAAATATAGCGTACATTAGGTGTATTTTTAGAAAGCGGCAAAGTGAATACAAAAATAATATACAGGGTATTTCATTAAAAAAATGTTTGGCTCGTGTTTCAAGAACGAGAGTTCTCAGTGAAAATCAAGTTAGCCACTGAATTCTACGTAAAAAAACTCTACGGGACTCAGTGTTCATCTTTTAGATTAGTTAGAAGATAACCGATTTTTAGACTCCCCGATAACGAGAGTAGTCTAAAAATGCAACAATTTCAAACTCACTCTATATTTCGGGAACTAACAGGACAAATCTGTGCGTAGCATCTTTAGTTTTATAAAAAAGTAGTTAGTAATGTGAAAATCGCATCATTGTATTGCTACTCATAAACAAGAGAAAAAGTCAAAAAGTACCTCATTTTTATTCCTCCTTCAATCAATCGCTATACAGGGTGTCCCAATATTCCATGGACATAGAACTACTAGGTATTTTTGGAATCAGAACAACTTCATTGGACAAAATTTACCTCTATACAAAAGTGCTTCGTTTGACCACTAGAGGGCATCTAACTTTAAAAAATTAAACACCGTTTTTCAGCTATTTTAAGAGTGGTGGAGTTGGAAAATATTTATACTAAAATGTATGTAGGGGTGGGGGTAGGTTTCACCTTTCCCGTATTTTTTCTTAATCTTTGTGAAAGCCAAATGTTAAAGCACTTACCAAAACATAGACACACGAAATCTCATTCAAATCGTAATAACGGTTCTTAAAATATGCATCTGAAAAATTGTGTTTATTTTTTTAAAGTTTGATGTTATTTAGCGGACAAATAAAGCACTTTTGTATAGAGGTAAATTATGTCCAATGCACTTATTTTGATCCAAATGTATATTTGGAATCATATGTATAGCATACCAGGATTAGAATGGTTACTGACGGAAACAGTACTGGGAGAATTTTCAGGTCAGGGGCTTGGAACAGCCCCAAAAAGAAAATTCCACTTCTCCAACTCTCAGTGGATGACATACCAAGAATTTACAACTTTGAGAAATACCTCACTGTAGTATTGGGTAATAAAAAGGATTGGAAGAAAGAAACGCTTACTCAGCATATAAAAGACCATACCATCACGTGGTATACTGATGCTTCCAAAACCAAAGCAGGGACAGGGATAGGAGTATTTGGGCCGAAAACTGAATACTCCGAACCAATGGGCACCTAACCCAGTATCCTTCAGGCAGAAATTTGCGCTATCGAAAGATGCGTACAATTTATCTTAGATAGGAACTATCGAAAACAGGAAATTGCCATCCTATCCGATAGTCAAGCAGCACTTAACACGATCAACTCAGTAACCGTCAATTCGAAGTTGGTCAAAGAATGCCTAGAGAAGCTCAACAAATTAGGCAAAGAAAATAAAGTCAAAACTTTTTTGACTCTGGGTGCCTGCTCACCAAAGGATAGAAGGCAATGAAAAAGCAAATGATCTAGCTAGAAAAGGAGCGAACACACCACTAACTGGACCAGAACCGTTCTGTTTTCCAAACGGGAACCAACTGAAAGCGGAACTGAAGAATCTGGAAGACTCCATCCGTAACTTGGAATGAGTGTCCTCCAACGGTCTAAGACACTCGAAAAAGTTCCTTAGAACTTATGACCGAGAAAAATCAAAGGTTTTCCTTGATTTAAGTAAAAACAATCTTCGGATTGTCACGGGGTTTCTAACAGGACACTGTCTCCTCAACGAACACCTCAGTAGGCTGAAACTGAGAAACAACGGCGAATGCAGATTTTGTGGAGAAAATGGGGAAACACCAGAATACCTTATTACTGAGTGCGCCGAGACGACAACCATTCGTGCCATAAACCTTGGTACGTCTGATGTCGAGGATGGAGAGCTGGCCTCTGTGGAGCCGTCTCAGATACTGGCTTTTCTTAAAGCCCTGAGACTGTATGATGAGTTATAACTCGTTATAACTCAAGAAAGGGGAACACACAATAGATCTATAAGGTCGCGGTGATTAACTCCCCTCCTAAACATTCTACATTCTACATTCTACATTCTACATTCTACATTCTACATAGCAGTTCTATGAAATTCTACGGAATATTGGGACACCCTGTATATTAGAGGCCTACCTGATAAAAAAAAATATCTAGTAAATATTTTGGACTGCTACTTTTCAAATTAATTTTGCGTTCTATATTTTTCTTCAGTTTGCAGTGCCAGTTGCTTTTCAAATTATGTTTTATCATTGCAGGTAGATACACGAGATCTATAAATAACTACCATCTTTCAATTCCCCATAAAGTAAACCTTGATGGTGAGTTTTCAACATTTAGTCTTCCGCATTTTTACGAACATAATGTTGAATTGTATAACAAAAGGAAAAAAAGAGAGCTACTAGATAATACTGAAATTATCTATTATGGTATTTAAAATTTTATTCATCTTTTTATCATACTTATCAAATTAAAAAAATATAGGAATGCCTATAGAAGAAAAATTATATTATATAGAACTGGAGCCCAATAGGGATTTTATGCATCCCAATTTGGTATTTGAAAAAAGAAATCCGATCATTCCTATTAAAGACAGAGACACACGAGGCATCGAAACTATGAAACTATGTCACTATAAAGGAAAAGTTAAAGGGATACCGAAATCAAGAGTAGCTTTATCTACATGTGACGGCTTGGTTGAGTTTAAATGGGCTACATTTACAAGCATACTGTAACCTATATCATTTATTAGGCTGGATATGTCATGATTGATGACAAGAAATACTACATAGAACCTGTAGATCAGCATGGTGCTAATTCTAAAGGACAACATTTACATGTGGTTTATGAAAGCCATCCTGATGCAGATAAGATGAAATGTGGTACTGAATCTCCTTGGATACCTCCAAGGTGAGCAAATTCCCAATACACTACTCAAAATAATTATGGCATATTTGAGGAAAAGTAATTATTACATATTTCTGAACGAACCATGCATTTTTCTGCCTTTCCCTTGTGAGTTTTTTTTTCGATAATTAGGCCACGCGCTGACATTTAATTTTTAATCATCCGATTCTTTGATTGCATCTGAGCGCGGCTTCATAAGAATATATTGGTTACAAATCTGCAACCAAATAGTCATACAAAAATATTCTTATGGAGCCGCGCTCACATACAATCAAATAGTCGGCTGGTCGGGTCCATAAGAATGCATTGTTTACACTCTTGCAACTAAATTGTCGACCGACTAAAAATTGCATGTCAGCTTGTAGGCTTAGTGTTTCGAATATTTCCCCCTTTACTGTATCCAAACTATTTAAAAATGTCAGTTGGAAAACTCAAGGTGTTTTGTTTTTCAAATTAATACTTTTTAAAAATATGCGATAATCGTTTTGATTAGTTTAATTACAGAACCAGCAAGATTTGTATTTTTATTATTAGAAAGATTTGCACAAACTGAAAATACACATATTCTTCTGAACTAAATATACTAATATATGGCTATAACTACCTACTTATTATAGGATGGAAAAAGGAGCAGCGTTAAATTAGAGTTGGCTTGGAAATGACGATAGATTGCTTTCACCATATATATCTTTACATATAAAAGATTATCGATCGCTATTTTCGTCATTTCTAGGCCAAATCTGACAGAGTTTTTATTGATAATACGGTGTATAATTTAAATAAAAAATAAATACGTACATATCACAAGCATACAAGGAAATCAAACGCACCAATATCACTTATAACGAGAAGTAGAAAGAGAAAAAGTTTAATCTCAGAAAATAAAAAAAATAATTGATGTCTATTTTTAGGTTGAATAGTATGGCTTGTAACTTTATTCATCGGTATTCTAAAAAATACATTTAATAATTATTTATTGGCTACTCAGTGGCCTTTAATATTACTATAATGATTTAGTATTACTTTTTAGTATGTAAGATATATTTGTAATTGTGTAAGGCTGTATTCCATTGTAAAATTAGGTTAACCAGCTTGGTAATGGTACTAAAATATTAATAAATATTAGTATGAACTATCAAATGGTACCACCATGTACCAGACATATCAATCCTTGAAAGGGCTAGCTGCGAGAGCGCTGAAGTCACTATTACTAAACCCCGATTAATATAGGCTGGCCACGTATGCAGGATACTAGAAACCCGCCTATTGAAATATTTTCTTTACGGTAAGCTTGTAGATGGTAAGAGGAAATCGGGTGGACAACTCAAAAGATACAAGGATATTTTCCATGAAAACTTAAAGAGGATAAGCATGCAGAATCAGTGGAAAGAAGTAGCGCACAATAGAATGCAATGGAGAAGAATTATTGTAAACTCAGTTTTTTTTCAACGACCACCAAAAAGTCAAGAGGCGACAAAGTAATGAAATTTTTGAATGTCCGGGGAGCGGATGAGAGATAATAAATCACTTATCGGGCTTTTCAGTCACAGAAAAGCTCATGAAATAAAACGCCTTGCGTAACCATCTTCTGATGCCTGTCAAATACTCGCCAGCGAGTAATGGCAATAAGTAATAAGTAGGTAGTACAAAGATTTCTATGCAAGTGATTAAAAGTCGTCGGGCTGGTTAAAAAAAGTTGTCACAACATCAAGCTTATAAAAAAATAATTATTCTTCACAATAGAAATATTGTGTGTTACAGTATCTCGTTACTATATCTAAAATTAATTATTTTTTATTTATATCAATAATTATACTTACTTACTTATTACTTATCAATAATATAATAACTTACTAATACACTTCTCCATCCGCAACCTAGAATGGGAATCTTGCAACGGTCTAAGACACTCGAAGAAGTTTTTGAGGGCTTACGATCAAGAAAAATCAAAGATCTTCCTGGATTTAAGTAAGAACAATCTTCGGATTGTCACGAAGTTTTTAACAGGACACTGTCTCCTCAATGAATACCTCAGTAGATTGAAACTAAGAAGCAACGGCGAATGCAGATTCTGTGGGGAAAATGGGGAAACACCAGTACAACTCATCACTGAGTGCTCCAAGACGACAACCATTCGTGCCATGAACTTTGTTACGACTGATATTGGAGATGAAGAACTACCCTCTATAAAACCGTCCCAGATACTGCCTTTTGTCAAAGACCTGGCACTGTATGACCGGTTATAACTCAAGAAAGGGGGACACAATAGATCTGTAAGGTCACAGTGATCCACTCAGTAAGGTCGCCCCCTCCCACTCATTCTAAATTCTACTAATACACTTAATCATTATTATTTATTCAGCATATTTAATATTTATTTAGCGAAGAAAATCAACAAATAATGGAAAAAAGAGAGTTGGAAAGTAAAGAAAAATACTTGGAAGTTTTAGTAGTATGCGATAAGTCATTTCTGAAGTATCATAAGCACAGGGAAGTGGAGCTTTATGTAATGACCATAATGAACATGGTATGACTATATTTTTACTTTTCAGTTATTGATTTTTATTAAAAATCCAAACAGGAGAGATAATTTTATTTCACAATTAATACACAAATTTTTATATAGTGTGATTCTTAAATAAGTGCAAATATTTTTATGGGTAGTATATTTCGATCCCAGAAACACATCTATGAGGTGTTTTTCGCAAAAAATTGAAAATTTGGAATTTTTTCAAAAAATTTTGGATTTTTTAAAATTTTTACTTAAAATATGAAATTTACAAGAAAGAAAACCTAGAAATGATCCAATGGTTCTAAAAATTTAAGCGAAAAATATGTTTTTTGAATTTTCAATATAAAATATCTCGGTTATTTTGGACTTTTTGGAAAAACACGGTAAAGAGAAAATATGTTTCTTTTATCGAGATCTCCCAGCATTGAAAATATTTGTACCTATATAAGAATCACCCTATATACAGTGAAATATATATAATATGGGGACAAAATAATAACAACATATGCTTTTATAGCTAAATAAAACACTAAATCACCACAATACTACACCAAAAAACTTTTACTTTTACACTGGACGCGCGTTTCGCTAACCATGTTAGCATCATCAGCAAGTGATTATAAACAGTTTATAATCATCTGCTGATGATGCTAAAGTGGTTAGCGAAACGCGCGTCCAGTGTAAAGGAAGTGTTTTGGTGTATTGTGGTGATTTAGTGTTTTATTTTGCTATGTAACACCAAAGGTTCGAAGCCTCAACTGTATTCTTTTATAGCTAGTTTACTATTTTTTTACTGTTCAGTATATTTATTTAATTATTTTTTTTCCTTGTTTAGTAGCAACTTTATATTGTCAATTTATACATATTGTAATGTAATATTGTTGTTATTTTCTCAAAGGTTTCTGATGGCTTTCACGATGGCAGTGTGGGATATGAAGTTGATGTAACAGTTGTTAGAATAATATATTTAGAAAGGGAAGAAAAGGAAATTGATCTGGAGATTAACAAAAACGCGGAATCTACATTAAACAGTTTTGCAAAATGGGCTGAAAAAATAAATGCTCCTATAGACAGTCCCAACCATCATGATATGGCAGTTTTGTTAACACGGTATGTATCAATGAATAGTTTGATAGGATAAATACATATGGCGATATGCCTATAAATTCAAAATAATATACCGTCTGGTGCATCGGAATACGGAACCCATATAAATTTTGAAAAGGTCAAATATTATCTCCCCAGATAATTTTATGCAAAAGTTGTATTATACTTTTTTGAAGCGGCGTTAAAGTTTAGTTATAGTCATAGTCATTTAAACAAAAAAATATGACATCGAATTTGACAATGGCAAAATCATATTTTTGATGGTGGGGTGCATGGGGTGCAAGGGGTATTGAAGCGATACATATAGCCTAGCTTACCCAAAAGTCAACCTCACCTTCACGTGGTGCACCCTGTTTACACAAACGAGGCTCTGACGTCCGAGTATAGGCGGTATAACCTTATACAACCTCAGACCTACCATCTTCTGGGGAAAAGGAGTAATAAAATACACCTTTTAGTACCTCCTGAGGCAGTCACGTGTTGCCCATCCGTCTCACATATCCATACTACTTCAGTTGGGCACTCTCTATTTCCTCTACTATAGTTTTCTGTCTACCCATTTTGTCCCTGATTGTCTCGTTTCGTACTCTATCCAGCGAAGAAAAGGAAATTGTGTTCATGCTGATCTCCTAATCACGTCCATTTCTACCGCCAGTAATTTTCTTTTATTATTCTCCGTTAATCTCCATGTTTCCGCCCCAAATAATAGATTGCTCTTGATTATCGCATCATAAATCCTTAGTTTTCTGTCTTTACCTATTTCGTTACTCCAGAATATATTATTCAAACATTTTATTGCATTTCTGGTCTTGACTATTCTCGAGCTTATTCGTTGTCGTTTTTCACGAATTTATCGAAAGTAACGCCTAGATATTTGTATTCGTTACTTGTTTGTATATGTTACAGTAAAAGTTGGAAATGAGTGATTGTTAAAAATTACTAGTAAAAGCTCACATTCACTGATTTCCTAAGACTACGCCAGTAAAAGTTCAACAGCTATTTTTAAAACCAACTTTTACTAGTGATTGCTAGCATTCCCTGGACAAAAGCAGTGAGTTTGAAAGAAAGAAAGTTTAAAATAGTTTACAACCTAACCTAACTCCCGTTGAAGAAAATTCGGGCATACTTTATTTTGTCCACGATGAACAACTTTATTAAAAAACACCTTGTACCAATAAGTAATCTTATGATTATGAATGTTTTTTTAATTGTTTTGTACACTTCAAAATGTTTACTATGTTTTCTCTTTTAATATTTTCAAAAGGTTATGTCGTTATTTTCTATATTTTTTAATAAATATACTAAAGAAGTAAATTGTAATTTTGAGATATGTGGATCAGCTTGAATATTGAGGTGATCCAATATTCTTAAAAGTTTTATTTGTTTCAACTTCCAATAACATTCTTCCTCGTCACACTCGCCACTACAATGGAATAACTCTTACTGGCAACCTTTAGTAAATGTTACTTTCACTAATGAATGTTAGAAATTACTAGGAAAAATCGACCAATCTTTTTAAAATACCATATTCACTGGTCCAATACGTAATTGTTAGCATTTAATAGTGAATGTTAACAATCACTGAATTTCCGACTTTCACTGTAACATATATATATTCATTATTCAGTTTTATTACTGTTTGATCCGATCCAACTGTTTTATAAGTTTTAGATGCCAATTCCAAATAAAATGAAATTCCAGACGAAAGTACAACTTTAACGCATCAACGCCTCTTCAAAAAAGTCTAATACAGTTTTTGCATAAAATTTTCTAGGGAGATAATATTTGACCTTTTCAAAATTCACATGGAATTTCCTAGTCCCGTTTTCCGATGCACCATACGGTACACATTGTTCAAAATTAATATCAAGTAATATTTGAGGAAGATATGATCTTTGTGGTGAAGGAGACGATTGCGGCTTAACAGGACTTGCAAATGTAGGCAAGGCCTGCGACAAAAACGGTTATGCAGGTTGCATAAATGAAGATGCAGGTTTGCCACTGGCTGTCATTGTTACTCACGAGCTAGGTCATTTGTAAGACACGAGGGTGTATTTAGCTGAAAAAAATATTTATTCTTTATTCATTATCGCTATAGGTTAGGCTCCGATCATGACGAGTCTGAAAACCCCTGTCCAGCTAAAGATACCGATAACTCGTATTTTATTATGTCTCCATATGTTCATTTGTTTACTATTAGATGGTCAAGTTGTTCTAGGAAAGATATTTCAAAGTTTTTTGAGTAAGTAAAATTATCATATATCGTGAGTATAAAAAGTAAAAGATTATAAAGCGGGCTTTCACTGTGAAAGGTAAATGTTTCTAAAGTAATTTCCGAAAAAAAAATTGTTTATTTGCATAATTAATTAATAGGAATATTGATAAAGCATTATTTTGCCACTTCTTCCTAATATTAATATAATAAATCGTTACGCTTCTTACATGTACAGGGCCTAATATTTTCGTGTGTTTTATGGGGTTTGTCGTTTGAGTGGAGAGAGGACAAATTTGCTAAGGCAAATCAAATGTGTAATAAAATGTGTAGCATCTTTAGTTTCATAAAAAAAGTATCACAATGGTGTAAAATTTACATCTTTGTATCTCTAGTTATAAACGAAAAATCTTGTAAAAAACACGAAAATTGGAGATCCTGTACCTTTATCTTCCCTTTGTTTTGTTTATTTAACTTTTCATCGCGTTCGGACGACATCAACTTTTGACGTTTCTTACGTCAAAACTTACTGTCACAGTGTCACGTGTCGTTCGCGGTCAAGTTAGCTTTGGTCCAATCATCGTGATACCAAATTTCATTTAAATCGGACGACTGTAGGTTGGGGGTTCCGTTTTTCCTTTTAAGGTACGGGAATCCTAAAAATACTATTACGTTGTTTCTTTTGTCTGTATGTTCTTGAAATCTAATTATAATAATAATCTATATTAAAGTGCAAATAAAGGAACTTGCCTAGAAGACGAGCCTTCATCTACAATGTATCCGTACACCAACAAAATGCCAGGGGTTGTCTACGGTGAAGAGGAGCAATGCAAATTTATATTTCCCGCTAGTCCTGGTGCATGCCACCCTAGAAAAGTACAATTTTGCGAGAATCTTTTGTGCAAAACCGAGGATGCAACTCAGTGCATGGGTATGAATGATGAAGGTCCGGCTGATGGTACAAAATGTGGAGAAAATAAGGTAAGAGATACAGAATGGCTTAAATTGGGGAAAAATTGCTTGTTAATGAGCCCAATGATTATATCTATTTACTAATTGAGTTTTTATTTTAGTAATAAACTTTTTAGCTCTATCCTTTGCTGACGTTAAAAATGAGTTAAGAAGCGTCGTTTTCCTAGGATTGAGCTGGAAACTCAGACTCTTACTGGGCTGGCTGAGCATCAATTGAGACAAAACCGCCGTAGTACCATTCACCAGAAAGCGAAGACTGAAAAACTTGATAAGAATCAAAAATCAATAGAAATACTGCCATCAGGAAGTCAAATAGCTGGGACTAACCCTGGACTTATCTGGAACAGGCATATTAAGAACATTAGCAAAGCCACAAAGACTCTCATGATATGCAGAAAACTGGTGGAAAATAGTTGGGCAAAGTCCAGAGACTAGCATGCATCTGCATGACAAAAGCGATGAAAACAATTGAGGTCATTCTAGACCTAACGCCACTGCGCAGTGGCGTTAGACTGCACATTGTCGTTGGTAGATATGCCTATGCAATGATTAGAATGGTCATTGACGGAAACAGTACTGGAAGAATTGTCAGCTCAGGAGTTGGAAACATCCTCAAAAGGAAAATTCCAATCCTCATACTCCAAGTGGATGACATACCAAGAATATACAACTTTGAGAAACACCTCACCGTAGTTTTGAGCAATAAAAAGGATTGGCAGAGAGAAAAGAAGTTGGCAGAAAGTTTGCTCAGGCATTTAACCCTTAACAGGCGTGGTGGGAAATTTTAGCTTTCCATGCGTTGCGGAGCCCCTGAGACTCCAAAATATACAGGTGCGCTGTATTAGTTAACACTAACGTAACATAATTTTCGGCAATGCAACAGACTGTATAATTATAGTCGACTGACACGAACGACTGCAAGCGACTGCCAAGAAAATGTACATGTAATTCCAACATTGAAACTTTATGAAAGTATAAAAGCTAAGAATGAAGCTAAGAAAGTTTCTTTGAGAACATTTTTTTAGATTTTTTCCAACCGTCAAATTAAATTCGTAAAAAAATGAAAAAGAAAACCGAAAATTTAAGTTTTCCACCATGTCGGGAAATGACGAAGATAATATGTTCAACTACTAAACGGATTACTATTGGGCTCACTAACAAGCAACTTTACCCTAATTTAAGTCATCCCGTATCTCTTACCTTTCCTAGACCCCAATGATGGGAGTGTAATTTGAAACACCCGGTATAGTACAAAATTTCTCTTAAGTAAAAACAATGTTGTTAATAGTTTTATTATTATGATCACACTAAATTTAAAAAATTGTGATCAAACCAAACTGCACCAATAAATCGTTATAGTCCGGTCGAGACATTAAATTCGGCGAGTTTTTGGGAGGACCTTTTTTTTATTACTGATTAAATTAAGCATGGTCACTTTTGCAATTTTGGCGTTTGGTCGCCATTTTGTAATTTAGTGATAACATGTTTGGGAATGCTAGAATCTCCACAACTGTATAAAAATTATTATTAATTAAAGCCTAAATAGACTAAAAAAACAAAAGAAAATATTAATTTATACTACTGGGCGATTCTAATTTAAAGTATTTTGTGATAAATATTAAAAAACTGTTGATAAAAAATAAAATTTTTAAAATATTTTATTTAAGGCAATAAAATCTACATCTAAATATATAAAATTTAAGATGCAATGTACTAAATACATTGTACTTAATGTATTAAATAAAGAAAGTAAGCAAGTAAAAAAACTAATAGAGAAATAATCTAATATAGAAATATCCTATGCATTCCAAACAAGGCATAAACACACAAATTATTATTTTTGTATTATTTATCTAACTCTTCATCTGAATCACTCTCTTTCATAGCTGAATCATAAATGATCATTTTTTCGACAATTTTTTTGTCCGTTTCCACGTCATGTATACTTTGGCGTTGAATTAACTCTTGGACTCCACTTGGTAATGCGGGTTGGGTATGCATGATAGGTCGCAAATCGTTTTCGTCTAACGGCCATCCGAAGTCAGTGGGAGACAACCGTTTTGTTAATAAATGCATTTAGTCATTGGCACACAAAAAATAATTATAAGTTATAAAAAAGTCTTCCCCAAAAAAACACGCGGGATTTCACATCTCGACCGGACTATTAATTTGGGCAATTCAAAAAGTTGGTTTGAATAAAATCTGTCACGTCTTCATTTTCATTGTTAACTGAGCATTGCCATGGTTGATGAAGACAGTTGTGGCATTTGTTCGTTAACATTTGACGTTACAATTTGTTTATCGAATGTGTATTCATTTGTTATGTTAGTTTTATAAGATTTTTTAAGTTTTATGTTTCCGCAAATTAACTGAGAGTCTAAACGGCCCTTAAGACATGCAACGTTAATTTAAAAAGGAAAAACAAAATGATTCAAAATTGGTTAAACTTGGTTACTGATTTTGAAAAAGCTTTTATTGAATAGGTTTGTGTCGAAAAACATGTTTTAACCAGTAAATATTAATATTAAATAAATTAATGGTGTCTTAGTGGTGTTTTCGTCGAAAATGTGTAGAAATGGGTGGAAGGCCTGAAGCCGTTAACGGCGGCTGGGGTGAATGGCAAGCTTGGTCTGACTGTAGTAGAACATGCGGTGGCGGCATAGCAGTCCAAGAAAGATTGTGCAACAACCCTGAACCGGCTAACAAAGGCAGATATTGTATTGGTGAACGAAAGCGACTGAAAATTTGTAATTTTCAGGTAAGCAACAAAATGAAAGCAAAGCATTTTTACAAGCTTTTATTTAATTCGCTTTGCTTCAAAATTGGGGTACAATTTTGAAGCATGGAATTTTGATACAATTTTGACTACTTACACACTAGGATCACCTAAAAAACATAATATCTATATAATATAAATAATATTTATACATTTGAACAGCGTTGATTTCTCGAAAAAATGTATGGGATTTTCGCCACCGGAAGAGAAATCTACAAAAAAATGTATCTATTTTATGTACATTCTAAAACACTATTGTGTTGAATCTATACGGACACCAGTTTGTCAGTAGCTTTCTAATAGTATAACAAGTTTACCTGATCGACAAAAAATGCTTAACATTTCAGGAGGTAATAATAAACAGTTTATAATAGACGTATCTGGTAAAATCTACAGTGCTCTTGGATAGTTATATTTAGATATTGAAATATTTTTTTCTCTTTTTTTGTTTTTAACGATGGGAGGAAATATGCCTCTTGAAATCCTAAGAATTTTTTGACGGTTAGGCATATTTGTTTTATTAGTTAAAAGCTAGCGACAAGCCGGTTTCCGATTGCATTAATTTAGGACAGCGGTGTTTACAAAAAACAATGTGTCTTATTTTGTATTTTTTTCTAGCGTAGAAAACCTTAAACTTTTTCAAGAAATATTATGGTTATTGCACCATATCCACATTTTTGTTTCTACGCCTACGAGGTTACAATTAACGATTTTTTACAACAGTATGTTTTTTTACTTTAACATCCTTAACTTATTTTAGCTGTGAATTTAATTTTACTGAATCTCTTTGAACTGTCAAAGAATCTAATCAATATAATGTAATCTTGTTAATGCCTTCCAAGCATGTTTTTTCTCTTAATTTATTTCATATTATTTTAAGTCTTGTCCAGAAGATGCTCCTAGTTTCCGTCAAACGCAATGTACTGCAAAAAATAGCGATCCATATAATGGTCAGTTGTTAGTTTGGACTGCTGTTTGGATATCATGTAAGTTTATTTTACATATTATTACAAAACGATATTCTTATGATGAAGAAAACAGTTGTTGCCAAAAATAATAACAAACAATAACTCACTTACTTTTATTTTTACTATTTAATAAAGCAAGACTTGTTTTGTTTCATTATAAGGAAAATATCATATTTAGAAATCACAATATTCGCGAAATGAGAATCTTGCAGGCCCTAATAAATAATTTCGATAAAATTATCTATTTTTCAAATATTTTTATTTGTTGTAGAGCTTACAGTTGAGGGTTGGAATCTTTGGTGTTACACAGAAAAATAAAAATACTAAATCACCACAATACACCAAAACACTTTTATTTTTACACTGGACGCGCGTTTCGCTAACCATGTTAGCATCATCAGCAGATGATTATAAACTCGCAGTTTACATTGCATATAAACTCGCAGTTTATAATCATCTGCTAATGATGCTAACATGGTTAGCGAAACGCGCGTCCAGTGTAAAAGTAAAAGTGTTTTGGTGTATTGTGGTGATTTAGTGTTTTTATTTTGTTGTTGTAGAGCTATTAAAATTGTAAATACATAGATATAGATTTTTTTAAAGAGCTTTTAATTAGGATTAAAAGAAAGATTGCAAATAAAACATAAAAAACTAAAAAAAAATCCTTTTCCCTAAGTATATTAACTCTTAATAAATAATGTTTATACTTTAAACCGGGTGCGTCTCAAAAGTGGCTCACCCCCTATAACTTTTTTATTTTTTCAGATAAAAAAACGAGATTTGGTATGTATATGACATAAATTGGGATGTCATTTGATTCAGAGTGTCATTTTCTATCGAATAAATGAAAAAATTCCCAGGGTGCCATTTAAAAAACAAAAGTTGTAGTCATTGTCGGTGAAACCGGAAGTGACCGATAACAATTGAATACGTCAATCAATCCCAATTTATGTCATATACTAACATACCAAATATCGTTGTTTTATCTGAAAAAATAAAAAAGTTATAGGGGGTGAGCCACTTTTGAGACGCACCCGGTATAGATTAAAATAAAAATATGTATTACATCACTGGAACAGAAATTCCCCCTAACGTAATCAAAACAAATTTGTCTAGCCACAAAAAAAGCTTAACATTTCACAAGTCTTCTCCTATATTAGTAGCAAATACATACAGGCTGTTTCATAAAACATGCACCTTCTAGCGTGGGGAGACTTCTCACGTAGAAATAAAATTTATTTTTCATATCCACGGGAGAGGTAATGGGGGTTACCTGATTACCCCTCCCAGGAAGAAATTCAGAAATAAGGTTAAATGTCGCATAAAATAAAATTGTCACAATATAAATTAATAATACCAATCAAAATAGAAAATCTAGATGAATCAAAGTTTATTTTTTTTCCACAGTCACAATATATTTGAATACAAATTTAATTTAAAGCTAGTACTTTATTTAAATATTGCCACTACTCCTCCCAGACTCAATCTCTAGATGCGCTACTGTGCTGTGTATTATCTGTCCGATTCTGTTTTGTTTCGTAGCAAGGGGTGACTGCTTTTAAGGATTCGAATGAAATTTTGGGAGGAAGGGTTGCTAAAAAAGTGTTCCCAGATTCACGACACGTGCATATGGGTTATCACTGGAATGTTTTTTTAATAAAACTGTGCCACTGACTTTTTTCTCTAAATAGTTAGTAAAATTGTGTAATGCCGATTAAAAGTTATCCCATCAAGGAGATCAAAATCTACATAATATAGATACAAGTTTTTATCGGCATTAAACGGCCTACACAATTTTGCTTACAAGAAAAAAAACTCAGTGGCCTACATTTTAGCGTTTTTTTTTAAATATTACAGTAACACCCTATATGCGTGTCACTAGTGTATTTGTCTACACTTTTTTAGCATTATAATATGTACTACTTTTAGTAACTTTTACCCTCAAAACTACATTCGAATCGCTAAAAGCACTTATATATAAAAAAAATTATAATAATTAAAAAAAATTAAACAAAAGAGAATCGGACCTATGTTGATATAAAAATAAATCTTACTATTACATGAGGAATCTCATGTAAAAGTAACTGGTTTTTGAAACACCGTGTGTATAAATTCAGTTTGAAGATTAATTGTTTTAGACATTTCATATTGTCTTACCCCATTTGTGGCGAAGATTCTGTTTGTAGAATACATGAAAGGCATATACTAGACTTTGCTTTTACTATTCGAAATCTGAACATAAATCAAAGTATAAACGGTAAACATATAACAAGCAATTTTTTAGCCTTTTAGTAATTTCCGTTTCGTAACTATCTTTGGACTATAAAAGGGTTCGTTAGCAATTTACAGAGCCATAACTCTGACTATTTTTTTTATTTGTCAATGCTAACTAACAAATAGAGAAACGATGGCATTGTATTTCTACCTGCACCTAGGTTCAAGAGGAATCTTTATTTTTATGCTTATTGTAGTTGTCTTTATTTTTATGCTTGTTTTGTGCTTATGATTGTTAATGTGATAATATATCGATACAAGATTCCTCTCACAGAGGTGCTATGGAATGTTTAGCTTTTAGCATCTAAGTTTAAATTACCTACATCGTATGTTTTTCTAGATTTATAATTCTTTTATTATCCGACTCTGTGCTTCTCTCCAACAGTCATATTATATCCGTAACTTGCTAATTACAACTATTTACTAGGCGGAATAATTAAAGACCGCGTTTCAATTTAATCGCCCGAGTTACCTGACCGTACGCCCAGAATTAACTTCAATTACCCCATTACGAAAATTTTATTTAAATTTGATTAACGGAAGATTAAATAGCCGGTCAGGAAACTATAAATTTTTCATCTTTTTTGCCTGCCCTCGCTGAGGTTGGCGTCTGTTGTAGTTTTTTTATTTTATATTTCGTTCACTTATTCGTCTCCTTTAGATCGCGGTTCTGCGCTCGCGGCTGCAAAATATCTTAATTTTGCATTTTGCGCTTGACGTTTTACCAGTCATTTAATAGCACCTCTTATTAAGGAAGTAGTAGTCGTCTTTTTGTTATGGCAAATATAAGAAAGCTATTAATTTAGCGTTTTCTAAATTTTGTGCATTCGTCAGTGAAACGTAAGTTTTTCAAAAATTCCCTATCCATGTTTGCTCTTTCCATCATATCAAACAAGCCTGCCGCCGTATTTCGTCCCCATCTCGTAGCTCTTGGTGCTTTTGAAGGAATAGTATTTATGTCGTTTCAAAATTCAAAACGCTGTAGTGTGATCTATTCCTGTTTCATCCTCAAGTTTCCTTGTGCTGATTCTCTTCCACGTACAATAAAACTTCCAAGTCGGTATCATTTCTTGCATCTTCTCTTTCTTCCTGCCTTGCTTCACATCTGCAGTTATTTATTAGGGTACCTTTGGTCTCAAATCTCTGGATATTCGTTGCGATTGTAGATTTTCCAGGTATCGGTCTATTCGGATACAGAGCAGCAAACATGTCCGACACCTTTTGATAACTATTTCCTTGAAAATACCATTTAATCATCAATACTTTTTCTTCGGTAGTGTAATTCATGGCTAATATTTTCTATGTAGGTATGAGTTTTTAATAATAATAATAAAGCACTAAATACATAAATTTCTGAAATCACAACTTCATTTGACAGTTATCTTTTACCTTGACTGGGTGCTCATAAGTAAATACAGGGCCATAAGAAAGGAGAAATATTTAAAAAGAAATCGGCAATAACTCGTAAACAAGCTAATCAAAAATATCTAAAGTTATTCTTTTGAATGTGGGTTTTAGTGCTCTTCAATAAACCTGAATAGAATTATTCTCTGAAATAATTAGGGAAGCCAATAATTGACCCCATTAAAATTTACATGAGATTTCCTATGTCCCGTCCGACGATGCAACACCCGGTATAGAGGACGTTTTGTCTCTCCAATATACGACTCACCGCGCTCGTAAGGTACCTGGTAAATGCACTCTTTTTCTTGGTTTGATGATTCCGTTTTTATTTGTTATGAAACTTGTGAGTAGTCCCAGACTTAAAAACAGTTTTAATTTTATACTGCTTAGCTATTCGTCTGATCATCATCTGTCAATTATACGGGAAGACAAGTTGATATTTTGGTGAAAGTTTGAAACATGCTGTGGAATATGTTAACAAAGCAAGGAATTCACAACCATTTTATAATCTTGGCACGTCTTTTCTGGATAGTTTGTTTTTCGTTTTATCTCAATAGCTTTTTTTGGAGATATTCGCTTTTGATGAAGACAGTAAAATGTTTTTGTATTTTTTACATTAAAACCATGCCTTTGCTTTTGGTCCTGGTCAAAAAATCTATAAAATAGTGTGTATAATTTATGTAATGTCACTGTCTTTGAAAAATTGTATTATTAGTGTCTGTTGAGCCGTTACTCTAGAAGATATGGTTTTAAATCCAAAAGTTACGGGGAATGATCAATTATAGCAACAATTGACGATACTTCTGTGAGCCGATACAGTCAATGACAGTGGCATTATAAAAATAATAAACACTATTTTATAAGTGTGTTGATGAGGACCCAAAATCAATGCTAAAATTACTGTAAATTGTTACTGTCTTATTCAAAATCTCCAATAGAAATAAAACTATAGAGGTGAGGCAAAAAACAAACTATCGAGAGAAGACGTGCCTAGATGATAAAATTAATTTTAATTTCCTTGCTTTGTTAACATATTCCACAGCGTGTTTCAAGCTTTCACCAAAATATCAACATTTTGTTTTCCCTTATATAGAGAAAGAGATACTAACAAGTCAAATAATTTAGCTACAAATTGCTTAAAAATTCATAAAAATCGGCTTTAAAATGCATACATCAAAATTTAAAGGTGCCTTTTTTTCCTGCCTGTGAGTGTATACAGGGTGCGTCTCAAAGGTGGCTCACCCCTATAACAAAGGTTGACATATAATATGTCATTCGATTCAGAGCGTCATTTTCTATCGAATAAAGTAAAGAAATACCGAGGGTGCCATTTAAGAATC